GACTGCATCGGCGGCCGCCGCACCCCAAACAGCGTCGGAAGCCAAAGAAGCACCTCCAAGCCCTCGATCGCCATGTGGCGCAACAAATAGGCCGTGCCCGCCGCCAGAAACGCAGACCGATGCTTCCCCTTCGTGCCTCAAACAAACAAAGGCGTGGAATAAGCAACAGCCCAAACCGCTGCAATTCTTAGTGATCATTTTCGCAGCCGTTAAACTTGCAACCGTTGCAAACCACAGTTTCAACCCACGTGCAAGTCAATCTGCAACAGGCCAGCAAACACACCCCGAACGACTCTAACTGACTTTGTGAGGCAACCTCTGTTCCAGCACCGACTCACTGTTGACAGGTCCTGGCCAAAAAATGACAGATGCTTGGCACTGGCCACCAAACGAACGTCAACCCAACAATGTGAGCAATTGCGGCGATTGCAGGAAAGGTGCACAACATTTGGTCTAGAACAAGCATCCGTGTTGTTTAGGAAAGCCTTGCACAGGAAATGAACCCCTGGGCACGATTCCCAAAGTGGCCAGTGTCGAGTCATGTGTGCCACTCAATGATCTGCAAAGGGTTGCCGCTCTGCAGGAACATTGGCTGGATCTTGCGACGGCAAACAGCCTCATCCTAACCAGCTGTCCTAAAACCAACCCGGTAGGGCCGATTGACTGAGCAAGTGCTACCCCTTTGGCAAAGCTTTCTGGGCTTTGGAAAATATTGAACCCCAGCGCTGGCTGGGGCTCGCCAAGACTAGCTTCAGAACGAATCAACCTTGAAATGCCCGTAAAGAAGATGGAATGTGACAGGGCCATTGAAACCTGAGGCCAGCCTGGCTTCATACTATGATTTCTTGTTACGCTGGCCTGGCGTGTGACTTAACCATCACCAATGTGTCCCCCCCGTATTATGAGTCAGAATGTACTTCCCCGCCTCCCTGAAAGTGCCTGGACTCGAGAACATGCTCTTTGCTTCAACTGTCAAGCACAGTTCACTGTCAAGCACAGTTCACTGTCAAGCATTGTTGAATGCAAGCGCCCGAGCGTTGCCTTTTCATAGGGAATCTGGCGGGATGCGGGGCAAGATGGACTATATGAATAAATTAACAACTTCAAAGAGCGGAAGACGGACACTCCTAAGAATTGGACGGCTTGACGCTGCGCCGGGCAACATTCAACATGACCAACTCGACATCGAATGCTTCTCTTTGAAGGGGGTAGTCTACCCATCATTCAATCATACCTTCAATGAGCGCGTAATCCGTGAAATCACGCCAAGCCACACACCAGCGCGTGCACCAGATTGGGGTTCACGCTCCCCTGCGAAACCCGCAAGAAGGACAAGAGCACCTGCAAGGCAGCACAAGTTTCCGAAGAACAAGATAGGGCATTCAGCCACTCATGACTACGCCCCTGTCAAAAGTTTGCAGTCAATAAGAAAACATTAAACAGTTTTTCTATATCAAACCGCCCGAGCCTTCAGGAAACAGTGCGACCTAATCCTCTTTAATAAGCAAACATTTGAAGGGTGCGACACCAGGAGGCAAGGCAAGATTTGTCTGGCGGTAGCCGTCAAACAGCGCAATCATATGAGCAGCTATGATCCAAAGTGTTAGTAAGACTACATTGTGCGACCAAAGAAACCTTGGGAAACCAGGCAACCCAACAGCAAAGCGTGCCAAATGAGCCACGCAACCGTGAGTGAGTGCTGCAGCAGCATGAACACAGATGGGCTCTTGATCAGCTCACGCTGCATGCGGTAGTCCTGCAAGGAAGGGCTCACAACAATCATAGCTGACTCTTGCTCCGACGAAACATGTAACACAGGATTGTGAGACAGTCCATCAAAAAACCAAGTGGCAAACTGTTTAACATTAAGAAAATGAGCAAACGCGACACATGGCGGGCGGGAACAAACAACAAGACCATGTGCCCCCACCCAGCTCAGGCGAGCGGGTCATGCCGTGTGCGGAAGGCGAATTGCACGAAACCGTAACTCAGAGACTCGTGCAAACTGCAGCGCAAGAATAACATGGATCACGCGGCAGGCGGAAAGCAAACACCCCGCAGCAGGACTGCAAGCCGCAACGCAGCTCGTTGTAGTTCCAGAGAAACATGCATGGACATCATGGACTATGGACTGCAGGTTGGGCGGCAGGCGCAAACAACTCAAACGATAAAGCGTTGCATCAAGTGCTTTTGCGCACGCTGACATTGAATCAAACAAAAAGTGGATCATGCGGAAGGCGGAAGGTGGACACAGTCCGGCCACAGTGCAGCCAAAGTGCCCTGGCGGTGCCCTTCACCGAGAAGTCACGGTCAGGGTCATTTGGCCACAAAGCCCGAACCTTACATCACCACGGTACGTTTGGAGAAACAACAAAACAAGTTGACAACACACCCTGTTTCGGCTTCGGCGCAATTTCTTGATTGTTTGGGGAGTTTGCAGCAGGGCGCTCGTAGGTTGCAACAGGAGCCCACAGAGGCCTAACTTCTCCAAACAACAGCTTCGCTAACAGTTGTGGCTTGTGACAGATGAGGAGTTCTGCGGCGGCCTGCAATGATTACAGTGTCATCTCGTGAGTTGCGAGTTATCATTCTCAGGGCATCGGTTTGTTGAATTGTCATAGGACAAGCGATGAATAGACACCTTGACTTTAAAGTCCAAATAAAACACATTTTCGGCCAAGGCACGTCCAAGGTGCCCACCGTGTGATCCCTGTACTCCCGCTTCAAGAACCGCGGAATGATGGCGTGGCCGGGCTCACCGTCGTACCTCTCCTCCGCCCCATAGGCGACCACCACCACCTGCCGCCGCACAGGATCCATGATGCCGAAGGCGACTTTGCGTGCTTGCTTGCTTGCTTGCTTGCTTGCGCTCGCTTGCTTGCCTGCTTCCTTGGTTGATTCCTTTGCATTTGCAGGCTTGACTTGCCATGCTTCCTGCTGACAGTCATAGCCACCTGCTCAAAGTCAAATGCTCCAAGTCAGTCATGGTCACCTGTCACTGTCTTGCCTGTTCAAGGCTGCCAAATCTTGCGGAAGTCGCACAAGCCAATCTCTAGAGGACGTCAGATCAGCAACTCAACAACTCCATCAGCAGTCGCAACCAGCAATGTTCAGATTCAAATTTCAAAACCAGCAAAGGTCCAGGCAAGATTTGACATAAGTGTTGCAACAAGTGGCTGAACCTATGAATCTCTTCTCACGTGGCCTTTCCGCTTGCAACCGACTGAACAACTGCGCGGGGCACCGATCCGGCTTTGCGTCTTGACACTGGCTTCCTCCCTCCACAACCTCGGCAATGCACCCCATCGATAATTGAGTCATTAAAGCAACGACACCGTGATATGTGCAAGACTCTTGTCAGTAGGTCAATGGTCCAAGCCTCTGCAGCAATGCCGAATGTGATTGACAACCGGAACAAAAATAGGGTTCTGATCATGCCTGCAATGTCTAGTAGAATGTTCAGCATAAGTCTGGAACCAGTTGCCACATTCGCTCTGAGGCCCCTGCTAGGTGCATGCTCTTGAGGAAGATAATGACCACATCAGCATCGCATGAAAAAAAGTGAGCTGGCCCCAATGCAACAAACCATTGGGTAGGTTCAACTCATGGCCAAACATCCACGCATCGACTCGCACGAACACGTATTTAAACACAGACACACACACAAACAAACAGGCCTGCGCACACAAACAAACACGGGCCAAAAATCCCACCCTTTGAGCGCATTTTCATCCGCGCCTTTCGCTAGAACACTGAACCCTGACATTGCCTGTGAGAACCCGCGTTTCCCCGCGCACACCAGTAAGTTGTATATATATATACATATGATTATCATTGTACATGTTTATACATACAGTAGTACCCATCATATACAAGTCATGACATTTGCCATACGACGGTTGGGTGCAACACCAACATAAGACGCTGCGCCGTGCGTAGCGCAAAGGAGCAAAAGTGCAGTTTTACGACACAACAGCACAACGCTACCACTGTGTCTGCGCAAGATTGAAAGAAGCACTAGCATTTGCGGAAGTCGTTGCAAAGCCACACAACTAAGCCGCGCCCATTCTTCTGCAATCAGCCGAGGTTGCACATACGGCTGCACTCAAAACACAGCAGCTTCAAGCATGACTGGCATCTTATCAGCAGTGCCAAGCGAAGAGCAACGAGGCAACTGCAACTACCCTTGCAGCTACCATGTTCAATGTCATCAAAGCACCCCATCACACACCACACTTCAACTGGCAGCAGCAACAGAGCCAGAGCGGCCAAATCCGGGAGGCCAAAGGTGCAACAGAACTGCTAGATTGCGTCGGCTCAAAAAATGACAAAGTCAGTCTGTCACTCCATGATGCAGCAAACATGACACGCGTGCGCGTGGATCCCATGCATGGTGACAGCAGCACCAACTATGGAACAGCAGCCACAGAGCAACACCCACGCCATAGTCCAGACTCCTCGTACCGTCAGGCAACCCGCCAACTTCTGTTTGTCAACGGCACTGAAACCATCAGGTCATCCTACACAACTTGCAATAGCAAGAAGTGTACGCCTGCAAAGGGGAACATGCATGAGCGTACATGCATGCCAGTATACAAGCATTCTCCTCAGTTGCTTCCAAGCAGGTGGCACTGTCAAACTATTTGATTCACACTTCTGCACACACTGGCCACACTGACATCAGATCCACCTAGCTAATGCACAAACGTGCCACCTTGACGAAAAAATAAAAAATGCTTCTGGGGCCATCCTAGAATATTCCTCGATTCCTGTACCATGGCTATTGTCTGATCACGCTTGCCTGTCAACCCAGCCTTGCCCAGAATCCAGCGCCTAAAGCCAGTCGAATTGTCTTGCAGAAGGTGCAACATGCAGTGAGTTCACGAAATACTCTGCAGAATAGGAGCATCTCACCTTTCTAATTTTCGTGCATCCCCGCTCTAAAACCACTCAAAAAGGGTACCCCCAGAAAACATACACCCACTTCCCCCTGGAAAACCTCAGTCGAGCCAACACGGGGCCCCGGGCAGCGTCAGCCTTGGACGCTTCCACTGCCGCCTTGGCAGCATCCACCGCCTCCACTGAACCTCGACCGGCGCGGACGGCAGGGTTCCCTGTATGTCCCCTTCGTCCATCGCCCCACCAAAAAGAACACTTCTTGATGTTCATACATCACCCCACCAAAAGGAAACACTGCTTAAAAAATCGCCCACAAGGTGATGTTCAAGTCAGCCAAGGATTTTTTTCTACAGCCCCGGCGCTTCCGAGGGTTCAAGGGAGAGCGGAAGGCTGAGAGTCTAAGATCCTGATCAAAGGTCCCCTCGCTCAAATCCCATTCTATTGTCCAGAGTAGACGCCCCAAGTAACAAAGTACTTGGACCCAGTTGTTGCGGAAAAGCCTTAAATTAACAACCCATGTGCAAATAGGTGTCTTGACAATTGAGGACCCTTATGGCTATGATCCTCTTCCCACTGTGACGCCAAGGCCTTCTATGGGCTTGAGGCTTGGAACAAACCCCGGCCCCGCGGGCCCGGCCCATGGGAAATCGTTTGACACCTGTGAACTGGTCCATATGGGGCCGACGTGTGCCACGCAGAATCTTGTCTGAAATCTGCTCGATGACCGCTTTGTGCAACCCTGGTGACAGGTTCTTCTAGGCTAAACCGATTTGAACGTTGCAGAGTTGTTCCAAGAAGACATCAACCGGGAAAACTGAAACGGACACTTACCAGCAACGTGTCCATGTATGATTCTCATCCTTGAGAAATGGACACAATTAACGTACCCAGCAGCTCCATCCGGCCCACCATTGGGCCCCAATCTGATGCACTGATTTTTCTGGGACTTGCTTGAAACAGCAAATAGAGCCTGCACAACTGGACCTGGCACCAGTGCGTTGTTCACAAGGGTCACGGGTGCCCCGCCCGCTTTGCAGAGGTTTGTTGCCCCCGCCTTGGATGGCCAGCACGTTCGCCTTGGCCTCTGCCGCTGCTGCCTGCGGAAGCCCCCCCCCCCCAAGGCCAGACCCTTTGCCCACACCCAAGCGGCATGAAGGAAAAAGTCACCAACCCTGCGCGCGGGTGGTGGATTTGCCCGTTGAAACTCACGCTTCTGTGGGTCATCTGCCAACAGTTGGGCAAATGCTGCTCGTGGTCGAAGAAGAAGACGTTAAACTCCTCAATTCTGCACGCAGTCAGAGTGGACTCTAACATTGAGGATCCAAATAGGGGAATAGGGGGTCCCACATAGGGGGTCTCAAGGAACCCACTATAGATACCTCAATGCCGGAATAGCTCGGTGGGAGATGCCATGAAAACGACGTAGTGGGCCATGGGGCAAGTTTGGTTGCAAATGTAGGTGTGTAAGCAACAACCCACGAGTGCAGCAAGATTAGGAATATCTTGTGTACAGTCCATGCGTGTGTCGGCATCCTACATCAAGCTAGAACCACGGATGGCAGCAGGATTGCACATGCGCTGAGCATTAAAGCAACGCAAGAGAGGAAACGCCGGACCTGAAAAATCCCTTCTCCTGACCATGCGGGGGGCAAAAAATAACGCGACCCCTTTGTGGGGTTGGCACTCGCGCCTCAACCGCAACCCCTGCAACAATCCCCCCCCCCCGCCCTTCCAGCGGCGGAAGCCGCACGGCTGGCCTTCTCCTTGGCGCTGCCACCCTTGGCCAAGACCTCCACGGCGCGGCTCAGGGCGGCACTCACCTCAGGCTGGCTGGCGCGGGCTTCCTGCTTTTCTGCGGGCTTGTTGCTTCTTGAGGGTTCCCTTTTCAGGTTTCAAAGGAGAGTGACACACCAAACAAAATGTTATGTTCATCAACTCAGCGGTCTGAAGCGGTTCAAAGCCCCGAGCAGCGAATGATCGCCAAGAATGCTTCCTTGTCTGGCTGGTGCTTGGAAACCTCTAATTTGCTGATTTGCTAGATGGTTTGTGACAAAATGGCCATGAGTTTCCTGCTCATTTGCTCATTCTTCAGACTCTGCCATTTGTGGTGTCCATCTTCACCGGGCCAGTCTTGGGTGTTCGCTTCAGGTTGGCTTTCAAAGGAATCAGAAAAGGACCCCCCAGCATTTGAAGGCCGCCCCTATTTTGAGATAGACTCACCTTTTAACACACCCGCCACACACGCACTCCAAAACACCCACACATACACACATTGGGGGGACTTGACAAAACTTCTCTAGCTGATTGGGAAACCTTCCAGTTTGATCCTGCCCGCTCTAGTTGGGAGCATTTTGTTGTTTCTGCTCGGTCTTGCTTCCAAAACCAACCACCCCGCCGCCGTTGCGGCCTCTGGAGTCAAGCCGATCCCCAGATCCGCCGGGCACATGGGCGTCTCCGCGGTGAGGTCGTCGGGCTCCCCTGGCAGCTTGGGCCCGTGAAAGCCTTGAAGATCCAATAGCCCTAAAAATGCATGTGTTGTGCCTGTGTTGCTTAAACATTTTTTTCTTGTCTGGTTTTCTGTTGCAGGGTTTCCTTTGGTTCTGTTTGCTCGGTTTCCTTTTGGCCGGTCTAGTTGCCTTTGGGTTGGCTTCCTTTTGGTTGGTTTCGCCCGTGTTTCCCCTTGAAAGCCATCCCAAACGGCCACCCCCTGTATGCTTGCCAGTTGTTGAGTGAGCCTGGTAGAAAAAGGGGGCCATTGCGTTTGGTCGCTTGTTTCGTGGTACCACTGAACATCTGGGATAGCAGAATCCCAGGTAGGCGGCTCTCTCTCAAGCCATCCGCCTGACGCCAACGTGTATGGGTCGCAGACCCGCTTCAGGGCCGCCTCGTGGTCCCCTGCACACAGTGGATGAGAACCCGTGGCACCAAATGGATGGCTTATCCAAATTCTCAGCTTTCATCCATAGGTGCACGATCTTGTCCATGACGAATACCCTCAAGAATGGTTGGAGAGGATTGCCCGAAAACGTTTTGGCTGCGCTTGTGGATAACTGTTCTTCTCGGTCCTCGGTTAAAGTCTCAACTGGTTGGATTCACGGAAGTCGTTGGGAACAACGTTGTTGAGCCCTATGGGCATGTGACAGAAAAGGGATAAAAGTGTAGAGACCCTCGTTCAAAAGGCGGCAAAGGCAAACCCAGTGCAACCGTACGTCGAAACTGGGGCCCGACTCGGGTTGTTGAAAGAAAGCCAGGCATAACAACCAATTGGAGGGTGCATGGCTTTGACACACAAATCTGTTTAACAATAGTTTCTGCTCTTGTGATGTTCGTTATCCGAAGAAACTGAAAGTGCCAATATGAGGGAGCCAATTTCTTCTCTGACCTTCAAAACATGATGCCTACCTAGCGATTCTCTGGTGGCACGGGGGAAGTCCCAAAGTGTTCCTCGCAGCAAGTCTGCCAGCTCTAGCATATCGGGGTTACTTCTGTGGGAAATCTGTTCGGGGCACCCTCGCAAGCTTAACAATTGCTGCTAGTCCCAGTCCCCAACATCTTTTCCTTTAAATCCACCCCTTTTGCCCTCCATTTGTGCCCTCCTCGTCCCTGTCTTCCCGTCTTGACCTCCTGGTTCACCCCCCTTAGGGTCGTCACACACCATCCTGCCTCGGCTGCTGAGCCCCTTGGCCTCCGCGATCCGCAGCAAACTGCCGCGGCGCCGCTCCGCCGCCCCCAGCAGGGCCGCGGCCGCCGCCTTCGCGCCGCGCCGCGCGCGACGCGCAGGCGCCGGCGGAAACGCCGGCGCCGGCGCAGGCGCCGGCGGCGGCCGCTGCACCGCCCGGGCCTGCGGTGAGCTTTTCAGGGGGAGCCTCACACGGAAGGGAGGTGATGGAGCTCCAAAAATGAGTGGGGCTCTTCCATTTGCGGAACCCCCTTTAAGGGGGGGGCGGGTGTTCCGAGCAAGACGGGATTTGAATACCGAAGCGTATCATCTGTATCAGCCGATGTTCCTTCAATTCCTAACCATACACCATGATCCTTGTGTGACCAAAGCCTCAACGCAATGTATGTAGCGCAATCTCCTGTTATGTTGGGAGGAATTATTACAGGCCTTCATCATCTCCTTTGTTCTCTCCTACAGAAAGGCAAATCCAACCAAACACCGCGGAACCTAAACCAACCAACATGCCAAACACGCTGTCCAGACCAAACCAACGTCTACCCCTCCAAACCTCAGACCCCCCCCCCCCAAACCCCAGCGGCACCTGCTTTGCCCACGCTGGCCGCCAGCAAGAGCTTGGCCGCGGCCTCTTCCCAGGCGCCATCCTTCGCCTCCTTCCGAGCGAGTCGAGAAGACCCGAAGCTCACACCCAACATGTGGTTGGGGTCTGCAACCGTTGGAGAAAAAACACCGCCGTTTCAGCCTGGAATGCCACTCATGTCTGGAAAAAACACTGTTTACTGTCGCTATTGACACCAATCCCTGTGGTTGGCCTCAAAACTCAGGGACCATTGTGGGATGATCCTGGCTTCGGCCCTCTTAGCCGTAAGCTCGGAGTCCTTAAACTGGCTTGCCTAAGCAGGCAAAACCCAAAAAACGGTGGGTCCCTTTGCCGTGTTCTGGGTCGTTCGCCCCTGTAAAGGAAACCACCAGTTGAATTCTTCAGTTGCGGTTCCCAACCCTCGTTCCAGGGACCCGACCCACGCCTGAAAGATCTTCAGCGCTGCAGCGGACATTTGCTGCGCTTGTGCCAAGGCGCCCCGCAGGAGGTGCGTCCTTCCGTCCGCAAGGGGGACCGAGCTGGTTTGTTGGGTTAAAAAGGGACAAATACGGGGGGAAAAGGTTTCGGGGGAATAGGCTTGGGGGACAACCACAACAGGGAGGGGAGCAGGGGCGGTTTTGTCTCCTAGTTTCCCTTAAAGTGGGACCCAGAAGGCTACCGTGAAAAAACAAAAGCACGTCCATCATCCGATGCCAACGACGCGTGTGGAACCTCAGTTCCTTCAAACGACAACCGTGTGGGTCACAATCCAAGCCACTCCGGGGGTCAAGACCATCTAAAGAATCAGGGCGGCCGCACCTATCGGACTTGTGCCCTACTAACCTTCAACTACCCGGATGTTGAGTGTGGCTCTGGGGAAATCACCCTTATGACCCCTCAGCATGGGTAAGTGCCCACTCAACATTGATGCCCACTCAACATTGATGACAAATTACATAATGAACAGAGAACACCGAATGCTGCGGTTCAGGAGCCGTATGAATTGCCAGAGTGCAACATCTAAGGTAGTTTCCCTACACCAAAACCACTACACAGGTGTTGTTTTTTGTGTGTTCTTGTTTTTTTTTTTTTTTTTTTTTTTTCGGTGGGGTATATTTTACAGTGGCTATGTAGGTGCTATATATGTCTCCCATTCTCTCCTGGTAGTGGTTTGGGGGTAGTGGAAACCATGCTAGAGCCAAGCGGACGTCGAGCCCTTCTATGACTGCTCATTGTACTGGCACAAAGCTCACCCGATGTCGGACACCAACATTAAGTCTTCCAAGCAGGCCCTCCCTCCCTCCCTCCCTCCCTCCCTCACTCACTCACTCACTCACTCACTGACTCAGGCACACTTGGGCTCGATTTCGTGACAGGCGCAGTGCTTTAGATTGGTTCTTTCGGAGCGATCGACTTTGTGCATGCTGATGCTGGCTTGCGTTGCACGCGCCTGACTCTGCACATGCATTTGTTGATGTGCGAGGCGCACACACAAACTTGCACATACTTACTCTCACTCCCTCAACGTACACTTACTAAAAAAAAACACGAACTCACTCACTCACTCACTCACTCACTCACTCACTCACTCACTCACTCACTCACTCACTCACTCACTCACTCACTCACTCACTCACTCACTCACTCACTCACTCACTCACTCACTCACTCACTCACTCACTCACTCACTCACTCACTCACTCACTCACTCACTCACTCACTCACTCACTCACTCACTCACTCACTCACTCACTCACTCACTCACTCACTCACTCACTCACTCACTCACTCACTCACTCACTCACTCACTCACTCACTCACTCACTCACTCACTCACTCACTCACTCACTCACTCACTCACTCACTCACTCACTCACTCACTCACTCACTCACTCACTCACTCACTCACTCACTCACTCACTCACTCAACTTACACTCACTATGCACTTTTCCCTCAACTTACACTCACTGAGGTACACAAACTTACTCTCACTTCACTCATCTTATACTCTCTGACTTTCAACCATTCCCACTCTCACTCACTCAAGAAAACACATACTTACTCTCACTCACCCAACCTTTACAACAAGCTAATCATGCGGGATGTCCGGTTCTTTGAGTTTAAGTGAGGACAATAGAACAAGACTTGGGCCCATTTCATTTTAAGGTCAATTCCAGTTTTAGTGAAACAAACCAACCAAAAAGGGAGCATCATCCAGACCCCCTCGCTGGAAATGACTCCAAGAAGACTCGTTCCGTTTCATAGGGCCTGGCCACGGCGAAGAAGCAGCAGCCCTTGCCCTTGTTGTCCTTCTGCACCTCTCGGCATGCCCTTGCTTTGGAGTTGCTACCCTTTTCGTTGGCTTAAAGGAAAACCAAAAACTGGGCCCAATATAATGTTTCCTGCCATTGGGAGGGGTAAGTTTTGAGGGTGTCACTGAAATGAACCCACGAGTGATTGAACAGAAGCGGACTAGCGGGCAAAAGGATCTCACTCCAGGCCAAATATCGCCATCTTGCCAGATTCCTGGCCCTCAGTTGCCCAGTAAACCTTCCCAAGGGGAAATTCTCGGGTGCATCGCATCTTAGCCACCAGCCAACCAGCCCTGCCTCACAGAGGTCCAGCGCTTCTAAGCCACGCGTCAAGGAGTCCTGGCTTCGACCCAAGTGGGTGAGAAAAACTCCGCCCCTGTTGCGTCAAAGCGGGGGGTCGAATATGTCTATTAGCTGTGACTACTTCGCTTTCATTGAAAAAGGGCATTCCCTTTCGGAAAGTGGGCCAGGGACCCTCACAAAGCAGACCTGACTCACCTCAAGCTTCCGCCATGTCCATGAATTGTTTAAAGTCTACATGGATTGAAATACCAAGGCACTGTCTATGTTGGGGGGTTCGCTTACAAGTACCTGCTGAGTTTGTGGCAACTGTTCAACTTTCACAGGTCGCAGAAGATTCAGAGTGAATCGGACCGACCTCACCAAGAACGACCTGACCCGTAAAGAGTCGGGCTATGCCTCACTCAGGCCTGGTCATCTTGGGTTGACCTTGCCAGCTGAGTCAGCAACTTGTGACCATTTCTTCTGATCAGGCCCCTCTTCACTTCAGTTCAGAGTCAAACAATTGAACTGTATTTGGAAGATCAACTCAGCAAGTAAACAGCAGAGATGAGAATGTTCAAACCACACCAAATTGTCTAAAGCTATCAGGTCCTCGTCGCCTTTCAAGGGAGTAGACTCACGATTCAAGCCTGTGGATATGAATTCAATTGGGAGCCCGTTGGTGAACATCTGAAATACATGCACAGTCAGGTCCTGTTCCAACCATGTTTGAGGGTATGCCCCCGAAAAGGTCATAGCGAATTGGTCTAATTGTAAATTCATCCTGGCCCCTTTTGGAGGGAAACTATGATGAGATTCTTTCAACAATCATGGCCTAGGCATGTTTCAAGAAGTCCCAAGTACAAGCTATCTGCGCAAAAACCTACATACCTGGATATGGGATCAGGGTTGCCTTCAACTTAACGGAGTTGGAACAATCATGGCCAATACGTTGTCAAAACAAGGCGGGAAAATCGCATCGGTTATCCTCCTCCCCCTTTATAACAACCCAAAAAGGGTACCAAGCCTGCAAAAACACACACACACACACACACACACACACACACACACACACACACAGAGACACACAGAGACACACAGAGACACCCACAAACAGACACATGCATGTGGGTGCTTCTCAAAAACTAGAGACCCCTCCAGGTGATTTCCTCCAAAACCGTTTCAAAGGGGACCCTATGTTGAGAAACACCCCACCAGTTCCCAGACCTTCCGGCTCCGTCCTCGAACTTCCCCTCCGCTCCCAAGGCCAAAGCCAGCGCCGCCAGCGCCGAGGCGCGGTTGGCGCCCGAGGCCTAGTGATGCGGCGATGCGACGATGACCCTTTGGTGGACATCAGAATTCGGTGGGGATCCATGTCCACCACTTTGCAGGGGGTTCCATATTTATGAAAATTCATAGCCATGTCTCATTTGTTCTGGGTGGTTCGGGGTCCACATGTTTGTATTGGTGTGCAATGGGAGGGAACCCCACAAAAAGGACGGAAGATAGATAGAAACTCCCTTCCGTGCACCTTGTGGAACCCTGGAGATCTGACGATGCTCCTGGCATCGCTTGCCAAATTCGGCTGCTACTTCCCCACCCAACCCCACCCAACCCCACCCAACCTAACCCTCCAGCCGGTCGTGCCTTGTGCCAACCTTGGTTACTTACTTCCCCCAGCCCCAAGCGTCACAATTGTGACATGTCTTTGTTTGGTGTGTTCCCAAGTTGGAGGTGGGTAGTCGTACAGAAGCAAACCGCATACCATCCTAGTTTTCTACCCTTCCTTTGGCCCAAGGCCTATGGTATCCATACACTTCATGCCCTACCCTCCCGTTTTTCCATCTCACACCTCACCCCACAGCCTGACCTCCGGCGACCGCCCCACCGCCCCACCGCCCCACCGCCCCACCGCCCCACCGCCCCACCGCCCCACCGCCCCACGCGGCGCCTTGTCCAGCGCCTTCTGCGCCTCCGCCGCGCCGCCGGGCGCCGGCTTCAGCGCCTCGAAGCCCATGGCGACTCGGGCGCACCTCGGGCAGGAGCCCACGGGACCCGCGGAAAGCAACAAGAAGGGGGGGAACACCGCAGGGGAAAAGGTCCTTTTGGGTTGTCTTTCACTCTTTGGTGCTCAAAGTGTTGATCTTTGAAACCTTTTTTCTGAAACCTTTGCCCTTGAGTACCTCTGAAAGCTAGCGATTGCCTCTGACATGGTACCTGGCCATCTGTGATCTCCGAGAAAAAATAAATAAATAAATAAATATATATATATATATATTATTTGTTTTAAAGAGGTCTTAGGGGTATCGCAGTTTCCCGGAATCATTCCTTCTCTTTGAGGAAGGGTCATGCAATCTGGCTTCCAGCGAGGCCACTAGCCTTAGAATTTATACCTACCCCAAGCCAAGAGAATGAACAGGTCAATGTGGACTCTTTGGCCGAGAAGACGCTGTGCTATACAGCGCGCACCTGAACTTCAATGGCAAGAGTTGAAGGCAACCTGTTTGAAGCCACGCAACACAGCGTGCGATCAACACATTCAGAATTCACAGGCGGCGTAGCTTGCTGTTGGTCCTTGCTTTAACTGGCTGGCCATAACCAAGCAGAACAGTGCACAAAAGCGGAACAAGGATTTTGCTTTCACAATAAGCACTAAATGCTGCCGGGCTCTGTTTAGACACTCTAAAAAGATACAACTGCCAAAACATGTATCCTGGATTCCCTAAAAGAAGCAGCCCACCAAACTCCCATTGAGATCGATGAACTTGAATCCACCACACCGACATGGTGGATCTGTAGACAAGACGCCTTTCATGGGCGAGGCTGAAATCCACTTTTAGTTGCCCAGAAGCATGAGAGCCACAAACGATTTGTTTTGCTCAGCGGGACATGGCCCTTTGAGGGGGCCACCACACCAAAGCAACAAAAAACTACCAGCAATATTGTGGCTGGACAAAATCCGGCACCAGTTGGCGGGTGGTTTATTCCAGTATTCATGGCGTTGAATCCATCCCGTCCTGTGCGAGTTGAATGTTGGCCATCCACTGCTATCAGTGCCACATCGGCCCAAATTTGGGGTACACAGAAAATCAGACTTTCAAATTATGATCCAAATGGATTTTACCAGCTAAAAATAGCAAAAAGCAAAAACAAAAATGGCAGAGCTCCGGATGGGTAGGTACCCGCCCAAATGGGAGGCTTTCCTTTTGGTGTCCTTTTAAAACCACCCTAAAGGGTCCCCCCCAAGCCCCAGGCCTGTGCCGGGCTTCGGATCGATCCGGACACGGCCCGCTACCGAAGGCAAGCCATGCCTTGAACCAAACCGGACGAGCAATGCCACCAGCCGGTTGCCGTGTCTTGGAGGGTACCCCTTTCAGGTGTCAAAGGAAGCCGAAGAAGCAGCCATTTTTGGGGTTCCGCCTATTTTTTACACATACCCAAGCAACACCAAATAGGTATTGAATTGAAAATTGGCTAAGTGTATCTGCCCTATACACTGGCCATGCTTACGCAGAGCCTCTGAGGGTGTGTGAAATCGCGGAAGCGTGCCTGCGCCGCAACAAGTGCCTACGCAGAGTGTCAACGCAAACATTGAATGCTCGGTTCAAACAAAAGTGGGGTTGAACCTCCATCCACACCAACCACTGTGAAACAAGTGGTGACAATCCAGCTTTGGGCTTTGGGTGGAGCGCGTTCCGAGGAAACCTGTCAGGCCAAATCATAGCTGACGGGTCTCTGTTGGAGGCAAAGGCATGACACCTGCGCCATCAGAGATAAGAACCTGCAAACAACTCTCTACCCTCTCCGGCGCTGCGGCGGCGCCGCGGCGCAAAGCGCAGAACAACCCCTTTTCCTTGACACTGTGCTCACGGACGCGCAGGGATGGGCCTTAAGAACCAGACGCTCCAACAGAAGTTTGTGAAGCGCTGACTTGTTCCAAGAAATGATGGACCATCTTGCTGCATCCAGGCTCACACCGGAAGAGTGCTCGGGCCAGACCTCAGTCCGTAAAAGTCGAGAGAAGCCTCGCCCCTGCAGTGATTTCATCGCCGCAAATGGCTCCTTGCAATGGGAAAGACCACGGCAAACGGATTTGAGTCCAGCCGCCCACACCCAAAGCTTCATCCCCAATCCACCCCTGGGGCTTTCTCTGCGCGGAAGAATGGCGCTGGGCCCTGCACCGTTACGCCCGTACACCTGGATGCGGTGAATTTGCCATGCTGAAAAGCTGGCGTGTTTTTGGTTGTCCTTGTTCTTTCAAAGCACTTTCTGCAAAGAAACACCCCGGAAACGTGCCAAGAATTGACAGACTGCTGTAAGAAGAAACAGCGCCGACAATCAGTCATCTTCACAAACTCCAACCCTCCAATGAGGAGCTGACCAACTGGCGCGCTCCTTTTGCGGGAAAACGTCCGCCTGTCCCCACCTTGAAAAATATGCATTTGCCGTACAAGAAATTGGGAGTCCCTGGTCTGAGAAGTTGGTTCAGAGTCCTCCCATGTCCCTCCATGGGCCGTAGACTACCCGACATTTTGACCGAATCTTTCCTTTTGTTGGGGACACCGTATTTTGAGGCTTGTTGTCAAGAAGGAACTCAAACAGAAACCTTGGGATGTTGCAGCCCCAGTCCTAAGAAGCTGATTCGGCAGGCGCCTCCCCGGGCCACGATGGAGGCGTACTTCTCGACGGCGGGGCTCAACATGTTGGTCGTCTGGTTGCAAGCCTCGGTGTGGGGTGGTTCTAAGAGTTGTATTTGGTTCTGATTTGCTTTGTTGGCATTTTTGTTGTGGGGGGGGGGAGTGGGGCGCCTTCCCAGTTCAGTGCTCAGCACCCAAAAAAAAGTCCACACTAAAAGAAGGGGGTTGTCAAAGTTATGCATCCCTTTTGTCTGCTCAATCTGCGGGCACTTCAACAAGGGAAATCACTACGATCTGGCGTAAGGATGAAGGATTGACTTAGAACAATCCAGAACGGGCACATATGGGCGTGGGCAAGGCTGGTTTCTCTTGTTTCTTTACGGGGACCCCCTAAAATAATGACTCCTGGGGTGCTCCTTGAAAACACCCCAAAAGCATTCCCTCGAAACAAACAAACAAACACGCACATACATATATATATATATATATAGATCATTGACAACCGCACAAAAGGCCCATTGCTGCCGGAGTGCCAAGTTGGGCGTTGAGGCGATCCTCCTCGCAAAGTCGTCGTTGCTGAGACGCCCGCAAGTAGAAAACTGTTCAACTGAATGGACACCTCCCAAAATGGCTAGTTGCATTTTGGTTTCCCCATAAATGAACCAAAACGGGTCCCAAGAAAATCGCCACACTGTCCTTCTTAGACCGACCAAGCGCTCCTGGCCACCTCTGCTGCTGCCTTCTTGGTGTCTTCTTCTCCTGAATGGCCCGCCACGCTCAAGCCCCCCCCCAAACCCGGAGGGGGTTGAGGGTGGTTGGAGGGGTTTCCGGGGTGGGTGCTTGGGGGCTTGCCAGCTTGAATCAGATTGAAGGCCACTTTGGTGGCCTGGGCTCCGTTGTCGTCTTATGCCCGGAAACCATCTTGCTTTGGAGGACCTTCCTCAGTTCTGAAACCTGGCCCCACAGGATCTCCAAGCCCTTTTGAAATGAGATGGAGGGAGCTTATCCGGTAACCTGTCCTGAAACCTGAAACGCCTGCATTCACAACACGCCTCTCCCGCGCCTTTCTGGCATTGATGGATAACGCCGTACTCCAGCATGGTCAAGGAACTCACCTAGCACGTCTCTCACTCCAATAGAGCACTGCCCCAAAACGAAGCTGTGTTTTTGGGTTGATAACCGCCAGGTCAAATGGCGCCAACGCAACACTTTCGCCTTGGCGCGCTACGCCAAGCATCGCCAGCTTTCTGTTGCCAAGGCGCAGGGCCCTGGTTGTAGCACAGCTGCATGGCAACCTGGGCAGACATATCCTCCACTGGGCTGCTCAAAGTGTCCCATTGGATTCTGAACAGCGGCTACATGCGAAACCCTGTTGATAAGCCACGATAGTGTCCCATTCAAATGCATCATATTTGATAGCAGCTTTGTTCAAATCCACTCAAATGCCTATTCTAAGCGGGTTTTGCCAACACCATGACTAGCAGAACATGACCTCAACTCGTACTGTGGGAATTAGTTGAAGATCACCGGAGCCAATGCAAAAGCTCTAGCATGTCAAGCACCAGCGGCACCAAAGTCGTGCATCACTGACATCATTAGCATTTCTGGCATCACTGGCATCACTGGCAGCACTGGCAGCACTGGCATCACTGGCATCACTTGCACCACTGGCATCACTTGCATCACTGGCAGCACTGGAATCACTGGCATCAGTGGCATCACGGGCATTGGTCACTGACAGAACCACTGCATCACCAGCATCATTACCATCAGTGATCGCGCGAATCACCTTCAAAACTAGCATCACCTGCATCGCCTCGAATAGGCAACAGCCCTCTGCGGCCCTGATTCAGAGGCATTCCGAACAAACAGACAATGTGAGTGGATGTGGATTTTTGGCGGCCGCAACCAGAGCAGTCCTTTCGTTCCTCGAAGGCCAACTAAGTCCCTTTCGGCCTCGAACAGATTCACAGTCCAGCCGGCTATAACTTACCACTTACTAGGTGCTAGGTGCCAGGTGCTACCATGGACCACTTGCCACTTCCCAGGTACAACTACCATGGTTACCCGCCACTTATCATGCAGCTGGCCCCGCTCACGGGCGCCCACGCGGTATGGCCCACCAGGTCCCCGAAGCACTCGGGGGGGCCCCACAAAGGAAGCACGAAGCTGGCTGCGGCTGAGGCCTCGAATGCGGCGAAACGTCGGCCCTGGGTGTTGGAGGGGGTCCTGTTTTTCCAGCCCCCCTTTTACCTTTTGGCTTATGGGCCAAAGGTTGTGAACATCCCAATCCCCACTAAAATAGGTTCTGAAATGGGTGGTGCACCAACCCCCCAAAATGGTACCATTGGTTTTGACCCACAGCCAGGCCATATATGTATAATACTACACAGAAACTCACACACAAACAGAGTTGGGGTTCCATTGAACAAAAAAACAACAATCCGAATCCACACCCAATGGTTTCTCCTGAACTAATGAAACAAACAATGAGAGCTTTCTTTGTCCTGGTTGGATTTGGAGGTGACAAAGCATTAGACAAACAATCCATCTTCTTCGTTCGGCTTCGTTTCTGGCAAAAAGGCAAACTGATGGGCTGTCGAGCCCCGCGTAAACATTGCAGCCCCGCGTAAACATTGCAGCACATTGTAGCATCTTGTGCCAACCTGGACTTGGTGGACAACCTTTCAAGAGAGCCGGACTGCTGAGGGCGATTGAGTCTTTCTAAGAGACTTCCAGTTGACTTGCAAGCATGAAATCCCCCTGAGGGCAACCATGCTTCCTGACATGTCCTTCTACCAAGCCGGTTTCGGATTCACATCCTTAGAGGTTTGGCTTCAGGCTTAGTGGCAAACCAAGGGAAGGGAACCCTCGCGTTCGGGGGGGGGCCCCACCCTTGGAGCACTCCATCCCGTTGGGGCTCCGGCAATGCGATAGTCCTGAAGCCGTCGCTCTGAAGGTATCAGAGCAACGAACCGGACGGGAGCTCTGTCAGGTTGAAGTTGTGGGGGGAAGGGCTAAAGCGCAATTTACCGGTGGTGTTCAAGGAACTGCCACTGTTGGAGGTTCCACAAAGGGAAATGGAGGAAACCCTGTTAAAAGCTTCTTGACATGTTTACCACCCACAAAAACAGGTTAGGGTTGCACAAACAGAGTCCCCGCTTAAACAACAGTAATGAACGCCCTGGGGCCTGGTTTTTTAAAACCCGCTAAATTGAAAAAACAAAAAACAGACCCCATGAGCCCCTAGGCACCTCAGCACGTTGGGCCTGGAATGTGTTTGTTGTTTTCTCGAGATGTTTTGCACTTTGCAAGGTTGCCGCTACCACAAAGATAATGTTCTCCGCATGAAGGAAACATATGCTATCGCATCCTGGGCATTTCACGCGCCCACAGCGAATTCTATTCAAATTAACTAGAAACTATCAGCTTGTCTTCCTAGAGTCTATCTAGATTAAAACTAACATCCAACTAAATTCCTAGATGTTTGGAAGGAAATCCCATTTAGATTCTGATTCAACAGATATTTACAATTGAATCACTTAGATGAAATAACCAGCTTGTCCTTCCTTACTAGATTATAGAAATATGGAAGTTCTAACTAGTTCCAATCAAAACCCTTTATATTTGGAAAGGAATTCCAATTTAGAATTGGAACGGTGTCCTGTTCAAAATATGCTTCAAAATGCAAAATACAACAAAGCTCTAGTTGAACTCATATTTGGACAACAACCCATGTAACATCGAATTTAATTTGACAAGTTATGATTAAACTCTAATGGACACCTCATTTGGAAGGGCCGTGCCAATTCATGCCAAACTCAAAGCAACAAATTGAAATCTAGTCAAAATCTGCAACACTTGCAAGCCAAATGGAATGACATCTGCATTGTTAATGGGTGTTTACGGATTTTTCACTCCTTGCAAGGGGCTTGCAAATCAAAAGAAACAACAAGCTTCTCTATCCTGGCGTGAAAAGCTTTCAAACCAGTCGGAAGGATACCTGCATTTCTCATGGGGTTTACTGTTTGTTCACTCCTTTTACAAGGGGCTTGCAAATTAGAAGAAACAACAAGCTTCTGTGTCCATATTAGGTTCTATTTAGGAAGGAACACCTATTTGAAGCCCAATACAACATGCCATGTTAAATTGAAGTCTAAATAAGATATGAATCACACTCAAAGTGTTGCAATATAAAACTTGTAAACCAATAGAGCAGAAATTGCATTTTCCTGGGGTTTCTATTGGTTTGTCTTTTCTAGCAAGAAATTGCGGCTGACGAAGCAGCAGGCACAACTGCTCTATAGTAGCTTTGGATGCTGCTTGAAGTGCAAGATTTCACCGTTTTTCAATAACTCAAGCCCCACAGCGCTCAGCTCTCTTAAACCAAGTAGGGTTAGAGGACTAAACTAGAGAGAAATCGGTTCCCAAGGAGCTTTGACGAAGAGTCAAGCAGCTTGCAAGTCCGCAGAGTCCTTGAAGTTCCTTCAAAAGCTGCTTGCAAAGGCCAGCACCAGCCCCAAGTACGGAGGAAACAGAGCCTTGCTAGCCCCAAACTGGGGGCGTTCGGTGGTCGGGGAGAGAATCAAAGGCGTGTGACAGGCAAAAAGGGTCATGATGCCACTGATTGACCCCTGTGGGCTTACAAAGTGAGACCATCAAGATCACCCAGGGTGACCCAACACCAGGTTGCTGCGTTTTTTTTTTGGCAAAGCCGTAGAGTCATGTCCCTGACGAGCCCTGAAGGATTGGTTTTCCCAGCTGAAATCTTTTGGGTCTCTGCCCAGTTGCGGCCTGGGGTTCGTAGCCTTCGAGGGTTCCGAAGGGTTCCGGAAGGTTCCTGGGCTGGTCGATGCCAAGCATGTTGTCTGTTTTTTAATGTCGTTTCAACCCTCTCTGATTGAAGACGCGCGGTTTTTCCAGCCACCAAAGCTATTGCCAATACTTTTGCCGATGCTAACTCCTTTCATAGTCTCAAGGGTTTTTATTCCAGATATAAAAACGGCCAGCCGGAAGCAGCAAAATTATTACTACTATTGTTCAAAAAGATAAAGAGTTTGACAAGCTCGTAAAGGGTACCCTCCTAATTTCCTTTCACTTTCCCATTGCAGTCCTATTAGCCATCCACACAGCACCTTGTCGACAAGGACGCCAAATTCAAGGCGACATCTCCAAACAAAAGTAAATGAAGCATCATCCTCTGAAAGTCCTGTGCGAAAAGGATGCGACTTCTCCACAGACCCCCGGCGGTCCGCTGCCAGCACCAGCCCCCAGGCGGGGCCAGCGATCTTGCCGCAGCAGGCCGCCACCTTGGGGTCGCTTGTAGAGTTGGTACAAGTCCATTTCGGACTTTGGCTGGGTTCCCATCACTTAGCCAATGCCATGGAGGTGGTGCCCTTTGGCTCAAATGGACACAAACGAACATGGAACCTGACAGGCGCGACGGCAGCTGCCCACGCATACAGGACTTGCGCGATTCGGCTCTTCAACTAGATGCCAAACTTATCCAAAGCTGCCTCTTGCAGCGACATGTGCATCTGCAAAAGCAACTCTGGTATTCGAAAAGGCTGCAAACGTATTGAGACATTGTCCACATCATGCTTTCCCTGCTCCATGATCCTCTAAACTCAAGTTTGACGCCCCAAACTAAATTTGTCATCTGCCGAACTAAAATTCTCCGCCCTGGGCTGTTTTGGGAGAAAGTAGAATGCATGTGAGCCTTCCCTTTCTTGGAAGCTCTGTTTACCCATCGCCTGGCTGGAGGCCTTGTTAGGGTTCCCTTTCTTTCCTCCTTAAACGTTCCAAAAGGAAACCTACTTCACATGGCAACAGGTCCCAGGTGAAGTTCACATGCATGTAAGACACTTTTATGAGTGTGTCTCTTTTTAGGGGACCCTCCCCTCAGAAAAAAATGGCGGTTCTAAACATGTTCCTGTTGGTTTCCCTTTAAACATCCACACAAAAAACCAGTACCTTCAACAAAAACTCCCTTAAGAAACCACAAACATGGAGTAGCTTCAAAAAAAAAACACCCCCAGACATCTGGGCCCCCACTCCCTCAGCATTCACATCTCGGGCCCCCGGGCGCACGGCAGCCCCAAAGTGCGGAGGCCCAGCAGGAAGCTGCCGCTGGCCACGGCCTGCCGTTGTCTTTCTTGGAGCTCCCCCCCTTTTGTGGCGCTTCCTTCTTGTTTGGCAGTCCAAAGGGGAAGCCGCCGGTTTTTGCTTTTTTTTTGGACCATGGGGGTTGCCTGTGTTCGGCCTCTCTCTTCTTTTTGAGCGTACAGCTGTTTGGTGGGATGTTGTACGGGAAACCAAAAGGAAACCGCTGCCAGCGAAACACCATGTATCTTAAACATCACCCCTGGGTACATCCTGTCTTGATCGATTTGTAATCCAGTCATGTAGGACATGCCGGGCATCTTTGCAGACGTCTTTGCTGGAAGGTTGAAACTCACTTCGAATTGATCCAACATCTTTGAAAGGGTATCAATGTAAAATTGGGGATACGTGCACATCAATTGCCTGGCTTTTGTTCACCATGTTTGAGGGCTCCAACCAACATGCTCCCTCCAATCAGGGAAGCTGACAGTCGAATTTTGGAAGACCACTTCCCTGTTGAAGCGCCCTGTCCACTCCCATGTTTTGACATGCGTCGCTCGAACGGTGAATGCTTCTCAAAAGATGTTCGCCTTTCTTTATCATTTCAAGAATTGCCCAAAGGAAACTGTTGGTACGAGTATTTGGGGGGTTGATCAATATTCCTGGCCCCCACATGACCATGGCCAAACTTTCCCATTTCTTCAGAAATATCATCTTCTTCGTTGGCTTCCCTCATGGTCATCCCATGTAAAGGACCTGTTGATCAACCCCCATTTTTGCAGAACCCAAGGAAACAACCCGGAGACCCAACACCCCCCCAGCGCCTGCGTCTGCGGCGCGGCCAGGCCCCCGGAGCTGCCAGAGTACGCGGCGCTCACCGGTCCCTGCGCGGGTCATTGTGACCCGGGCTGGAGATGGCTTTGTAGCGTCCAAGATCCAAAAAAATGCAAGGGCTTCCGGCTGGTTTCCTTCCAGACACCCCAAAAAATATATATTATATCCTCAACGAAAAGATCTGGCGATAAGGAAGCTCTCTGGGGTATGGTGCCAACCTGCGAAATGGGCCCCGCGGGGTCCATAACATACGACATACCGATATGGGTGTGTCGGCTCTTTAGGGCCTTTAGGGGACCCCCAAAAAAGCGAGGCATCACCAAGAAAAAGGCACCCATATCCATTTCGTGCACTTCAAGAAGCAAGCAAAATCCATATCAGGGGCATCAACAGAAGCCCGCAACTAAATGAGGCTTTCACATTTCTAGTGTGCTCCGTTCAAGTATATGATGCTCACAGCAAGCAGACTAGGTCAGTGTTCGTATCAAAAGCAAAGCACGGCATGGATGCAGCCCTGCTCTGAAGGTAGTTCGAGCCTCAACGAGTTCACCGCCAAACAACAGGAACCGCTGACGAAACCCGTCCATGAGGCACCAACGCCAAGGATCTTGAAAACAAAAACAGGTGGCGATGGGCACTGGCCCTTCTTTCGGATTGTGTTGTGGGAAACCAAAGAACATCACAGCCGTGTGCAGCGTCCCTTGTTTGTCGTTGCCACGCCACCCTTCCAGCTGGCTTGCGACAACGTTGCCTTGGTGCCCTGCAGGAGCAACACGACAGCCTGGGTTTCAAGGAACCGGGTGCCTTGTGGGCTGATTTTCCCACAGGCGTTGAGTCCTTGGGGTAAACGAGAAGCTTGATTAAGGATGTGGGATCTTCAGAACAAGGGTGTGGCGACGGGTTGATATCACAACTCAAAAGAAGTGCTGGGCGCCTTTCAAAACCACCATCCAACAAAATGTGCGGTCGCCTGGGGAGGTGTGCAGTCTGGATCAAGCACAACTATCTAGCTTGAAACAACAAGTGCTCAAGAGCATGGGTGGCTCAAACACTTGCCCAGCCCGATGGCGGGCTAACAAGAGGATTTATTCTGCATGCATGGTCAAAATGGGTCTTGGTCATGGTCACCCTTTAGCGACCCTTGACATTGGTGATCACCCCTCATTAAGAGGTTGATGACAATCCTTGCAACAGGCAGGTCGAGCCTCCCTGTTGAGCCCCTGCACACCTAAAACAAACACAGGCCTGCTTCCGAGAAAGAGGGAAATGCAGCGAACAAGTGGCAACCAAGGTGTCCAACAACCTTACGGTAAGTTGTCCGAAAAGGTCACCAAGAACAGCTCAAACCAACCGTGTTTCATTGTACTTGCCATGCAATAAATTGAAGAAGCAAAACGTCCTGCCCCACCAAAGGACAGCTAGAAGCATGGACCCGGTCCGCATCCATGGAACACACAAAGCCCTCCTTGGAGAAGTCTTTCTGGGGCGAGCAACATTGGGTCTGTGCTTCTCGGCAGGGTTTGCTTTCAAACCCTGGGCACATCGCACTGCCAGCTGGCGCCTTCACGCCCTTGTCGCAGCGCGCCGCGTGCAATGCTTTCAACACCTCGCGCCAGGGCTCCCAAGGGACAAGCAACCCAACATGAAAGCCCGTTTGAACCCAGAAAAGAGGAGGCAAGCTTTCCCGGAAGGACCTGATGGAAGCTCTTCGGCTTTTTTCTAGAATTTGGCGAGACATATCGCAAGGGTCGATGGGGATCTATGCGTCTCAGCAAAGAGAGGCTCTGGCAGCAACGGCAAAGCGCGCAAGTCCCCAGCCTGATCCAATGAGGCGGGAGTGCCTGGGTCGCATCACTTGAGGCTCAGGTTCCCACTGGACTGGCAGACTGAAAGCTTAGCTCATCTTAGCTTCATGTAGCTGTGGCTCAAAATGATGTACCAAAATGGCACCTTGGCAGATGGAACCGAGGACTAGACCCTGCGTAACCCGACCTCTTTAACTTTAAGCCACACCCATGTGGGAAATTGTCACAGCTTTCTGCAAGGCCTGCGTAGGAAACGAACATCGCTCACAGGCTCACAGGCCTGACTTGCAATTGACAGCCACCAAACCAGATTGCTGACTTCACAAAGACCTGCTGAAGCTAAGCATGTCAACAAGAGCAGGCAATGCCAGTAAACGCCTATCTGCAGTCAAGGTGCAAATGCCGCTGATTTCCACATGTGCCACGGCACAGTCGTCAATCACCTCAGCTCGGATAATTGCGTGTCATTTGCGGGCAAATACGGTCCGCTGCAAACAACAGCAGCAGCAATCAACTATTGCTGGTAGTCATGCATTCTCAACCGCAAAGATCACAAGCTGCAAAATGACAAGCACAAAGGCAAACCGCAAGCCAACCGACAACAAGCCAAAAAGCAAAGAAAGAGAGTGCAGAAGATTAAAGCAGCCATCATGATGTAAGAGGAACAGTGCGCTGAATGTCTTTCGTCGCCGTTGTCATCGTCATCACCGCCGTCATGGTCGTCGCCGCCACCACCATCACCATCACCATCACCATCACCATCACCATGACTATGACCATGACCATGACCATCATAATCATAACAATAACAATCATCATCACCAGCATCAGCATTATCATCAGCAGCTGCGCCAGAACCAGCAACATCGAATATCACCATCACCATCAATTTGCGCCGTCGAACCAAAAATCGAGAACCCCTATATAGCTGTTGTGAGCATTTTGAGTGGTCCCCCTTTTCCTCCCCAACCCGACAAAGTAACCTTAAATATTGGCAGTGCCTCAGGGTGTCGAGACAACCAAAGGCCAAAGGCCCACGCGATCTTGCACTCTGCAGGCTTCTGAAGCAGCTGCTGAGACTTCCTGACAAACAAAACGTGGCTTGCTCTCAGTAGGAAATCCTCTTCCCAGTTGGCTTCAAGAGGAATTGGCTTGGGTCGGTGATTTGGGTTGTCCTTCTGGGCCAGGCTGTAACCAACATCTTCGGGCAAGTTCCCAAGCATGGCTGTGAATGTCGCAGTTGGCCCTGCCCGAAGTACATGAGACAAATGCGCCTTTTATGAGGTGAGTTTGTTGCAGGAGCCGAGCTTCCACTGCAAAGAAGCCCTGAATCCATGGAATCACGTTGACCTCCAATGAAATGTCCTACCGTTGCATCAAGTTGTCCTGTGCTTTTCCCATAGTTTCCCGTGGTTTAACCATTCCTTCGCCTTCTGCATGCATCAAATCTTCAGCCAAGTTTGCCTCTGGCCAAAGTAAACGACCCCAAACCTCTGCACTCGACTCGAGCCGAAGGGCGCGCACTCTTCTCCTGTCGCACACAGTCGACGGCCATGGGATGCCTCCGGCAATCCCGGCCATGGCAAAACCTTCTTGTCACATGGCTTCCTCGTTGTCCCCCTGGCGCCCTCCACTAGAAAGAGGCTCAAGCAAAATCTCCGACCTGAAAACACCATGGGCCAAGGTCAAGCTCACCTATGGGCCAAGAAGATAAGGTGAGGTTTGCCTCAAGCTACCAAAAAGAAGGACAACTCTGCTGGATGCCGTGTCACAACTGGAAAACACGAGCCTTCGCGTAAATCAAAGGTTCCGCCGACTCAGTTGGCGAAAGGAACAAAAGGTCGCCTTGCGAACCTGAACCGTACAAATCGAGGCAACTTTCTCAACAAAAGTATGCCAACTTTGATTGGTTGGAGCCGAAACGAAATTGACGTTGGGGATCACCCTGTCAAACTCGCCCGACATCAAAGAGAATCTACAAGGATGCCCAAACGCCCTCAGCAAGCCGCGCTGGCTCGCTCGGCGCCGGCACTAGTTCGCTGGCATCTGCCGGCCGATTTCTTCCGCGATGACCACAGCGCGCGAAAGGAACATGGCGAAGCCCACAAAGGTGTCCTCTCCTGCGGAAAGGCCGATATGCGTCCAAATAGTGGGGACTTCAAAAGGGTCCCTCCAAAACCTCCCCCCCGCCCCCCACTCGGCCAAGAATGGCAAGGAACATTGCCGGGGAAGCAGTGAGGATTGTTTCAGCTCCGGATACGCCGCTAGATATTGGGAGGCCGGCTTCTATCCCGGCCCTCCGTTTCTTTCACGTTCTGAGGTGATGAAAGAAGGTTGCAAGGTCAAAAAATAACCACTGTCACAAGATGAAAGAAGGAAGGGAGGGTGAAAAAAACACGTGCCAATGTACAACAAAAAGGGGCTCGGACGGTGCAATGCAGACCCAAGGCACCAAAACAAGGTCAAGGAAAAAGGAGAGGCCCAAGGCTCCAAAATTACAGGCCCACGAAACAAGAACAACCTCTGCATTTCAATGGGGGTTCTCGGCGAAGCCACTCGTCCGCTTCCTTGATTGTTGGAAGCAGGGTATCACTTGCCCAACGGGCCTCAGAACGAAAGGCTGTAACGTTTGCGGACGGAAAATGAACCAAAAAGGTAAAACCCAAACTGTCTCGATCCCGTCCTTTGAAGCCGGGCTGGTCCTCCAGGCCTTTGCCCCAGAGCCGGCCAGGCGCCTCGCCCCAGGGCACGCCCAGCCCGAAGAGGCCCGGAGCCAAGGCGCCAGTCGCCTGAAAATCGGTTTAGAGGTTGCAGCCTGCCTCTGGGTTGAGGAGCAGCTGGTTGGTTTATTTGCTTTTCGTTGGAAATGAGGAAGAAAGGCTGGTTTCGCTTGCTGCTAACCTTTTCTAGGCTTACTTGGCACAAACATGGGCAAGACGTTGGTTCAGAGGGACTTCCTATGAGACAACTCCACAGTGCGCTGAGACAGGGGCAAGGGGCAGGTCCAACCAACTCAACTGGCCAAGCAACATAACTCGAAACGGTTATGACGACAAGGTCTTGAAACCTAACCAACACTGGGTATTGAGGAGCAACCAAAAAGCCCCCAAAAGATGATGCGAGCCACTAGCCAAAGCTGCGACGGCTGTGCCTCTCCAGCTGCCTCCCACCCCCAGCCCCTTGCTTGGACTATGGCTGTAGCTCTGGCTCCCCCGGCGGCCGGTTGCACACGGCTAGGGCCGCACGCACGCGCCAAGTTCCTTCTGCCCAGAATGCGGCAGTAGCTGCTGTGCTTGGAAAGTCGCCTAGCCCCAGCCCCTTGTCCTTGCACTTAATGTGTGGCTGTCTCCAGTGGGAAGCATGAAATGGTTTCTTGCCAACTGCCCAGCTTCCCCAGGCCTGGCCGTGAAGTAAGAACGGAGATCAAAGGAAGCCTCTCAATCGAAAATAGGCCCTGGCCGACGGAATTCAATGAACCCCCCCGATATCAGCACCCAGTTCTGGTGGGGACCAAGAGTAGCAGGGGTAGAGCATGCAATCAACAATCAGTATGACGGGACATTGGGATATCCTCATGCAAGGAAACCGTCCTACTTGGCGTTGCAGTACCTCTTTCCCCCGCGTCTCCTCGCCTCGTCACGTGGCTCAACTTTGGAGCCAACGATCTCCGGCAAGGGGCCTCAGGTGTCGCGAGGGGAGGGTTTGTTATGGGTATGACGGTGTGACTTTCAAGTGGTTGGATGTTTTGGTGGACATCATTTAATATCATGTAGGTGTGTTGTTTTTTAAACTTGGTGCTCAAGGTGAACTCAAACGGGAAACCAAGCTTTTGGAGGGTCCATGTGCTTTGAGGCAAACCATGGGCAAAACTGCCGCAATTCAAAAATTAGAAAACACGAGTTTTCGATCACCTCGGCAGTGAATGAAGGGAGCAACGACTCCTGATATTATTATGTTGCAAGTCCTCAACAAGGGCCATGGATGATCGGAACCAACAGCCACATTCCTAGCGGCGCCAAATGAGGCAAGGCGAACCTTGCGAGGCATGGCGCTCTGCTTGTAGCCAGTGCAGTCAACCACCCAGTCCCAATCCTTTTCATCGAACTCCTGACCAATCAGCGATGCGTGGAGAAACGAGAAAAGTTACTACAAGAAACCTTGACGCTTGGTTTGGCTGAACCTGTGCGACTTCCCCTTTGAACGTCTATAACAGTTACCATCATATCTGCTCATATAAATCCTGAGAAGGAGGGGCACGCCCTCAACAGACAAAAGATTCGATGAGAGGCAGAACTCGAGCGCTGAAACGACAAAATTGCCGGGACAGCGCTTGACCATCTGTCTCTCAGCTCGCTTAGCTTTAATGGCTGCTTTTGAGCTTCTGGGAGCGTGAAACTCCCATTGGCCGACACGTCCGGGTGTCCTTTGCGTGTCTGATCTGTAGCCAGTCGGCGCCATTCACCATGCACTCGGCCCCGAAGACTGATCCGTAGCCCTTGAGGCCTGGCGGGATGCCCTTTCAAAAAAAAACCTTCACGTGTTGTTTTTCTCTTCTTTTTTTTTGGGGGGGGGGGGTGTCCGCAAAGCTCAAAAATCATTCTGGGTCAACACTACCGGTGTGGCAAGAGCAGCGCGTGTTTTGAGGTGTCCATCGTCCCCATGGTGCGAAGCGTACCCCCTCCAAGCGCCCCTTTCGTGATGGTAGGCATCAAAGAACAATCCACTGGATCCCAGTTGCCACTGCAGAAGGTAACCCGTCATGCTCCTTTTGGTGTTCAAAGTGCGGCTCCCTAAAAATACCGGGGTTTGCTAAACTTAGGTTCGGCGAAAGCCAGTGTAAGGCAAAAAAACAAATCATATTTCCAACAAGGGCTCTGTGTGGAAGCTCCAAAATTTCAGTGGGCTCTCCTGGCTCACGCCTGTGGAGTTGTAGCGGTGCACGTTGTGCTCGGTGACCCACTCGGCAATGCGAATGGGGCGCCGGGCAAAGCAGGCCACCCGCAAACCCAGTGGACCCGCCAGGTCCTGAGCGCGAGAGGGGCGGCTGGTTGGTTGGCTGCCTGCCTGCGTGCATGCTTGGTTGCTTGCTGGATGATGGGTAGGTGGCTGGGTGGGTGGGTTGGTTCGTTGGTTGGCTGGTGAGAAGGTGGATGGCGAAGTTTTGGGTTGGTGGCTGCGGCAGGGAGGCCTCCCTGTTTGGATCAGTCGGCCTTCTCAAGAAAAAAAAAAAAGAGACTTGCCCCCACCAGCCTCACACCAGAATATCGGTGTTTTGCAGTTCATGCTGCACACAGACTACCATCACCAGTCTGATTCATGCTGGTGTGAACCAGAACAACCAAGTGCATAAGTCATGTCACAACTCTCTCCCTGTGTTCCTTGCGGCTGCATGCTCCACATCGGCTGTACTTGCTGGGCACGTCATGTAATAGCAAGGCAGCTTTCCAAATGCTTAGTGTTTTGCTAATTTAGGCTTAAAAAGGATTGGTATGATCTTATTCTTTCGGACCTAGCTGGGCATCTTGACCAGAAATACTTTATTCTTCAGACATTCGATTCGTCGTTATTCTTGATTCTTCGATTGTTCGGTTCTTGGGCTCTTTCACTGGACTCTCGTTGAGTCTGCGCTTTCGTTCATCTGTTATTCTGCTCTTCGATTCTCTGGTTCGATCCTTCTACTTGTCATCTCGATCCTTCGATCCTTCGATCCTTCGATCCTTCGATCCTTCGATCCTCCGGTTCGTTGATGATACACTTGTGTCTGCGGCCTCATTTCGGGCCTACCCCGTCTTTTAATGAAACATGGGAGTTTGAGGGTGGTTCCTTTGGTTGCCTTTTCAAGCAACCCGAAACGGGTCAAAGGTGGCTGCATAAACGCAACCATGTGTCTCTATGATGTCCAAAGCTCCAACCAAAAGTCAGAATCCCGAATGTGATGACAATCCCTGGCTGGGAAAGGAGGACTATTTACCAGGAAAACCTGGTGTTCAAACATAACCATGTCAAATAAGGGTACCCCCAAAATCGGCATGTTGTTTGGCTTCCCCATGAACCAAGTGCAAAGGGCACCAACTCAAAAACACCACGCAGGCATTGGTGTGTTCTCAAAATTGCGGACCTATCAGCGTGGTTTCAAAAAACAAAAGGAACCCAGATCCGATTTTGATCAAAACAGCCTTTGTTCCGTTTGGCCAAAATCGAAACCTCGCGCCTGCCACATCGAACCGAGGCGCTCTCAGCCGTGCCAGCGCGATGGCCGCAGAGTGGGAGTTCCCCAGCACCGCCACGCGCTGGGAGGGCGCCAGGCGCCCTCGTAGCTGCTCCTGGATCTGGCTCGCTCCATAGGCTGAAGGGAATGAGAAATGGAATGACCCCGACAAAAACGTGGGCTATTTCAAGGGAATCCCTGGGAAGACAGCAAGTAAGGACATCGGAATCAATGCGGTCTACCCGACACAACAATGTTGAAGAACCCAGGGGGCGGCTATCCGCACCTATTTCTGGCTCGGACAGTCGGCTAACCTTCACTCACCTGGGTGATTGTGACTTTCTTGGCTCTCACTGTCTATTCACATTTTTATTTGACTTTAAAGGTCCACGATCCCAGTAATTGCAAGCAACGAGATCTTCTTGCACTGAAAATGGTTGGCTTCTTTTCGTGCCTCTGTAAAGACATGTCAATGTGCCTCTTGCACGGAACTAGCTGCAGACAAAAAGGAGAGCCGCACAGAATTCTGGCTTGTCCACCCCCTTGTGCCGTAAGCACCCACCCACCCAGTTTCTCAAGCCTCTTAAACTACCAAACTAGGAACACGGCTCATATTCCGCCGTGAATCAATAGAGAAATTCTCTTGGCCAGGTCGCAGAGAGGACAGTCGAATGGAAAGCCCTAATAAGTCGCAATATGACTCCGTTCCGTAGACGTCCTCTCCACCGGCTACGGTTACCACTTTCAATGATTCTAAAAGGAAAAGTAAGAACTTGGTTCCATGGCATGACGCACTTGTTTTTGTCCAATCAAACACCCCCCGCGTTCCATGTGATAGCACGGGCTCAATGGCACTGCTTCACAGTAGGGTAGAAGTGGCTAGATCTGTCAATCTTAGTCTTGGCACACACCCTCGGCGGCAGCCAAGTTTTAAGAGGCCTCCAAATTCTGTCCAAAACCTGCGTCCGCTACAGCACCAAGCATAATTGAACCTGCATTCACCTTGCTTCCCAATTGGCTGACATGTGTGCAGCACTCAACGAGCGGGTGTGCTTACCAAGTGGCTGGCGTGTGTGTGTGTGCAGCGCTGAGCCGGTGCGTGGGCGGGTGTGCTTACTAAATGGCTGTCGTGTGCACCGCACTGCGCGGGTGCGCGTGAGCACCAATTGGCTAGTGGGTGTGCGCAGCGCTGAGGGGGTGTGCGTGAGCGGGCGTGCTTACCAATTGTCTAGCGTGCAGTTGGCTGGCGTGCGCGCCGTGCGCTAAAAGACTGCGCTTTGATCCACGGCGGAATGTGAGCTGTGTTCCAAACCACCACCAAACTGTGGAAACCACGCAAAAGACGAAAACACACCATCTCCATTCGCCTCCTGGAAGGTTTCCTCTACGCAGAGAGCCTTGGGCCCTGCAGCTGTCTTCGGCTCACATCCCGTGGCCAGCACCACATGCTTCGCCTAGCGAGGGCCAAGCAACACACGGCCTGGACCGATGAGGTGCCTGGACCGATGAGGTTTGTTGAGTTCCGTGGTTGGTTTGCGTGATTGCTTTGTTTGTTTGATAGTTTGTGTTGTTCGGTTGGAGGCAAGTACGTAGGTATGGCAGGCTGGCAGGCTGGCTGGCTGGTTGATTGGCTCTTTGGCTGGCTGGCTGGCTGGCTGGCTGGCTGGCTGGCTGGCTGGCTGGCTGGCTGGCTGGCTCGGTCGGTGGGTGGGTGGGTGGGTTGGTCGTGCGGTTGGGTGGTTGGGTGGTTGTTGGTTGGTTGGTGGGTGCTTGGTGGGCAGGCGGGTGGTTGGTCAGCGGGCTGATTGGTTGTTGGGTTGGTTGGGTCGTTGGCTGTGCAGTTGGTTGGTTTGTTACGCGGTTGGTTGGTTGGTTGGGCGGTCGGTTGGGCGGTTGGGTGCTGGTGCGGTGGGGGGGTTGAGTGCTTGGGTGGATTGGTGGTTGGTTGGTTGGTTGGGTGGTTGGTTGGGTGGCTGGGCGGGTGGGTAGCCTTTCCCGTCCCCTCGCCTTCACTTCGCAGGTGCCGCGTTTGCCCTCGAGGGTTGCAACCCAACCACCGGCTTGGCGACTCCTCAGAGGCTGTGCGAACGCGAAATTCGCCGGACCTTCCCTCCTTCACTCCTTGCCTCTCAGCCCTGTGGGCGGATGCTTTGCTGGTTCCAAACACAAATCTAGTCAACTGGGATCCAGACTCCCAAACCGTCGGCTTAAACTCTGCCAAGCTTCAGTTTGGTCACCTTGCCACGGAAAGTGGGCACACCTCCCAGGCTGCTGCACCGAGGTAAGGGCAGCATAACAAACTCAGGGGCTACCGGACAACGGAACAGGGGCTAATTCCGGAGTGGTCCGGCCAGATGTGTCTGCGTCGCATTGGGAACCTGTGTCCAAGTTGTCCTTTGGGTTTCTCAATAGAGTGCCCCAGAAAGGTTCTCCCAACCTGACCAGAAAATGCTTAGGTTCCAAGAACCTTTCGAGGGCGGGAGCCTGCGGTTTTCTGCGTCTCGCCTGAGCTCACAAGCCCCGCAGTGGCCGCATCGAACACGTCCTTGCAGGCGCCCAAAGTGGTGAAGCCCAGCTTGGCGGGGTCGATGCCTAGCAACGCCGAGTCTTCAATCAAGGAAAAGGCCTTTGACTACAGAAAGTCGGACCTCCCTAAAATATTTGGCTCCCTCTTGGCTTCCTTTACAACCACAACACGCCCATTTGCAGGTGCCTACCCTCATTGATCCTCTTATAAGAGCCTTTCTACTTGAAAAGATCGTGTGCCCGACCAGAAAATTGTCAAGAATTCAAGACGGCGAACAACAACACGTCACAAACATTCGAAGAGTCATGTCTAGGCAAAGCATTGCCTTCTTTTGGGTGCGTCATTTTTGAGGGCACCCCAAAGCATAAGGGGCACACCCCTAAAACTGTTTCAAAGAGAACTGAAAGTAGCCCCCCCACCTATTTGCAAGACCCGGGCCCAGTGTCCCCTCTCCCACTCTCTGCCACACGTGTCACGGTCGGAATATGCAGTTGCTGGTTCTTGAGTGTGGGAAACTTAGAGTCCCCCATGTCCCCATCAAATTCGACATACTGTGGATAGAAAAAATCCGCTTCGCACCAGATGGTAGGTGGCGAATTCCAGTATTTCAGAGGGTTTGGTGCCTCAGCGTGGATTTTGTCCATCCACAGTAGCCGAAGCTGGAACAAACAGTGACTTTGGGTTTTGTGGGAAATGTACTTCCTTTACGGGGCCCGGACTCCCGGCCTTTGACTTGCCGGCGCTCAGTGCGACTGTGTGGCAATGAACCCATGGGCTTTCCCTTGCAAGGAAGCCACAAAATGGATGGCGTTGCAGGGGCTCATTCCAATTTTCCCTTCAAGGAAGCCACACATGTGCTGCCGTTATGGGGCCCCCACGTCTCTCCAAGCCACCAGTTGGACGGCGTTTCAGGGCTCATTCCACTTCTCATTCCCTGCCTATGGCTCGGCATTTTCATCACGTCGAGGCACAGGTGGGCAGAGGCTCCGCGGTGTCCACGAGCCGCTGCACCGCCGGCGACACCGTCGCTTGCACCTCGCGACTCGCTCGCGGGGCTGCGATTGGCGGACCACTTGGCGGCAACCGCAGACCATCCAAGTACCCCCAAAGAAGTACCCAGGCGAAAATAATTGGAAGATACACCTCCATGCACTCTTGGCATGGTGACTTAGGCTGGCCAAAGCATTTCAAGCCTTGCTGTGCGTGGGCGGGTGGGTGGATGCGATGCGTGGCAAAATCTGTGAAGAACAAGGAACTCCAAAAGGAGGCGGCTTAGTACTGGGCTAAACATGGTTAACTCTGGCTCTCAAGGAATGAGGAAATGACCACCAACACTGCTTTGTGGTTTTTGTGGGGAATCCTCAAAACCACCGATTCCCTACGTACGGAACCAGCAACAAATTGTGGGGAGCCATCGGCTTGGCCCAGCCCGAATTCTGCACATCCGCGAACAAGGAAGGATTTTCCAAAATGCAACCTGTTGGCTTCCCTTTAAGGCCAATCAGAAGTGGGGTCCTCCCCAAAACCACCCATGCCTCGCTTGCTCATGGCCATGGGACCCTGTAGCTCTGAGGCGAAAGCGATTCCTTTGTGCTGGAAACCTTCAGGCAGACATGGGGGCTACACCCCATTAAAAACCACGTCCCCGAAAAGGGGACACATCCACTACCGGGCAACGGCTTTGGACTCGAGCGACGAGACAAAACCCAAGAACATAACATTGGGACTTGTCTGTTGCATTCCTGGCGTGTGTCATCCAAATTTTGATTCTGCCAAGACCGATGTTGTCAAGGTCACAACGCAAGAATGTCGAAGGAAAGCATCCCCAGTTTCACGTTTCGCCTCTTGAAACTGCCTAGAGACTGAACTTTTAATGCAACAAGCGGCCTTGGCACGCATGGCCTTCAACCCAAGCTGTATGTTTTTTGGCACGCGCTTCTCAATTTTTGGATAGATGGAAGTTGCTTTGCGCTTTGCCATATCACTTTTTACAAAGGTGACCGTCGGTGGCATTGGAACAACCCCCTGAACCCCAGGTACCTGAAACGCGCTTGGCTTTGCGCATGCCAGGTCTTGCGAGCTAGTACCCTCTTCAGAGTAGTTTAGAGTACCCGGAATCCCGGAACAGGCGGTTGTCTTCATACGAACCTCGCGGGAAACCAAGGAAAACTTGAGGGAAGCCAAGGAAGGCCAGCTCAAACCCAGGACAAGCCGAGATCAAACCCGTGGAAGTTCGAATCGGGAACCTGGTGCATGAGCGGATGGTTGAAGGTGCCCGGTCCCACCTCGGCTCTCGGAACCGGGATCGGCTCAACATGTTCCAAACCGCCAAACCGCCAACATCCGAGGCCCTTGGGAACGGGAAAGGCGCGGTGTCCCTCCAAAGGTCCTTTGAGGGCCAACCTCAGAGAGCCAAGCTCTGCCTGTTTGGCTACGGGTCGAGAGCCAAGCCGGGCAACGCAGGAAGAAAAGAAGGTCGGAAAGGCATTCACCCACAAGACTCGTAAACCAGCTGAGCCAAAGCAGCTCTTACGGTATCGACGCCGGTGAGTGCAATGAGTCGGCAATGAGCTTTTCTTCCCTGTAGCTCCATGCCGGAGACGCGTCATTTGACGAACCGCCCGGCCTTTGTTGGCACGGAGAAAAATTGGAAATGTCTTAGATCCGAGGGATCGGCTGTCTGCCTGAAACGACTCGCATCCTCCAGGCAACAAGCGCCGGTATCAAGGAGATTGCGAAGAAAAGCGCCTCGTTCTGCAGCCTCTCCGGAATCCAGGCACTGCAGAGCCGCTCGGCGGACAAAAAGAACAGGTGAAGCACAACATTTGCCATACGGCAAAGCCAGCGCAGTGGCTTGCTGGTGGACAATGCACGCGCTTTGCGCACTAAAACAATGGTGAAGGTAGCAATTGCCGGCAGGGTATTCAAGTACCATGACGCAAAGTCGATGAGCACAGCGCCGGCCTCTTGCCATCGCTCCTCTCGGATCCGTGCCGCAAGGTGATCCATGTAAGCCCAAACAAGTGGAACCCCACATGCCAGCATCGAGCGGTAGGGCCAAGGAAACTTCACCAATTCATCTCTCACCGCGTCAGCCACAGTCGTGGAGATGTGGTTTGCGCAAGCATCCTCTGAGCCAAACCAGAGGCGCATGCACAGGACTAGAACGTCTCTATCGCAAGACAAGTTCTGACCGTCATCATCCTTGTGATTCATGGTGCAGCAGGTGCAGCTTGCATGATCCATGGAAAAGTTCCTCAAGCGAGCATCCAGAGTATCCAAATGAGCGTAGAAGTCGAAGATCAAGATCTCAAGCAAGCAGGCAACGGTTGCCATGCCAACCAGTGCCAAGATGACCACAAGCACATGGTCGAAGGGGAGCGCGATATTGCACATCATCACCAGAAAGGCGAGACCGAACTGGGCCAACCAGAAGGTGCTCGTAAAAGCGGGCAGAATTGCGACCTGCTGCTTCGCCGCCTCATGGCTCTTCAAGAAGGCGGCAAGCTCGAAAATGCACCAAAGCCTAGAAGGGGAGCCTTCTTTCGAGCCTTCACCATTCCGTCCAAGCCTTCAGCCAGTTTATCTCAGCCTCCCCCCTAACCCTTTCTTGTTGATCTTCTAGTTGGTCGTTTCCCTCCATTGTTCCTTTGCCACCCTGTGGCTGAGGCCCACAGCAACTGCACTGAGCTAAGGTTGGTCTAGGGTGGGTTTAGGGCTGGGGTTGGTTAGGTTGGGCAAACTTGGGGCGGGTTTATGGTGGCCTTGGGCCGAGTTCAACGTTGGTTTAGGGGTGTAGCGCGTGGCTTGCCGGCTTCCGCTGGGTCGAGGGATGGAAGGACAGCCACGGTGGGTCTACGCCTGAAGAAGGGCGGGTTGCATGTTAACTGAGTTGTAAAGAGATTCGGTTGGAAAGAACATCCTGTGAAAATTATAATTGAACATATAATAAAGTTGAATCTACATGCTAACATAACATAGAAGTTATGATTGGATTATTCCCTTGACAACTTGTGTATTAACTCTAACTGAACTGTAAAGTTTTATTGAGAAAGAAACTCTATCTAAATTCGAATTTCCCAAATTCAAGATGTAGGAATCTATTCAGATACTTATTTGGTGATTCCCATTTAGATCGTATTCAAACTGAAATTGAATTCTAGAGAGCGGCCGTTGGTGGAGATGCGAATTGAGTACTAAAAACGCTACAAAGCACTGTGTTTTACGGCGTTTTCTGACCGCGGAAGTGCAGGGGCCAGCAGCAAAAAAAGATGTCGAGACCTTTGAATTAATTCTTTTGGAATTCCACTTAATATGTTGATTAGATTATCTCAATGTCTAAGGAAAGACTCCAAAACTAAGTTCTATTTTAAAAAGTAGACTTTAAGTGATGATTCTTCTAGTTCAAATTATATGTTACACTGGGGTTCCTTTCCAACAGACATGTCTTTACAAATCAGTACGCATTTAAACAATTTATTCAGCAATGTTGGGACCTCTGAATTACAAAAAACATGACTAACAGGTTCAAATTAATGTGCATAACTAGAAATAGACAGAATTGGGTAAGGAAAGACTACAATTAGAACTGCTCAACTCATAACTTTAATAACTTTCATTCGGTTTCAGTTTAAATGTTTCACTGGCATTTTGTCCCAAGAGAATGTTCTTTACAAATCAGTAAACATTTAAACACACTTAATTCAACAAATTTAGTACCTGTGAGCGCGTTCCTTCTGAATCATGCTCAGTATATGCATCAAGTTAGGAACTTACAAAGGAATGAACTCAATCGGAGGACACCATCTCTATCTTACAGTGGACTATGCAAGTCCTCTTGCAAACAGTGCCAGAAACGGGAAATGCGCTAAATACACAAAGCCCGGACGAAAGTCATGCCCCCCAAGTAAGGCCAGCTGACATAGTCGTGTCTTCTTTGTTTTTCTCTTCATGTTTTCATATTTTTCCAAAAAATACACAGCACCTCGAGAAAATCAGAAGATCAAAAAACAGATTCTGCTTCCCAAGGCAGGACAAATGCCATGTCTTGTTCTGTTCTTGTCTTTTGTTGTTTGTTGTTTGTTGGTGTTCAAGGTTCTTCACTTGTGTCCCATTCAATGCAAAGAACTAGAAAGCCAAAACAACTAAACTATGCCCCTCCCCCCCCCCCTCCCCCCCAAGTCAGGACAGCTGACACACTCTTGATTGTGTTTGTCTGGTTCTTGTTTGGGTTTCCCAAGTTTTGTTTGGTTTTGCGACAACACCATCGCACAAAACTTACAAACAATTGCTCTCCAGGGCGTCCTGTTGCGTTAAGAAAACGCAGGGTCGCGGGTGAAAAACAACACTGTCGCTAGTGAAAACACAACGTGGAGGGTAAACCAAGTGAAGGGCTGAAAAGGTGCGATTCCCCAGGATAGAAAAACATGGTTCCTCTGGAGGGTTTCAACACAGGGCTTGAGGGTTAAAAACAAGGACGAGTTTCAAACAAGTTTGGAGTGCAAACAACGGGAGATGAAGCCTCTCGACCCAGGTCTCATCCCACAGGATGAGCATGCCCTTGGCATTCTTGATGTTGGCCCCAAGGCTCAACAAACCACGCTGCTTCAGTTGCCCGTCGGTTTGATGAATACACATCAAGTCCATCCAGACCGTCTGCCGCGATTGCCACAAGTAGGCCACGAGATAAAAGAGCAGTGTCCCTGTCAGCAGGCACCAGGGCGCGATTTTGATTGGAGGTCCACTCCAAGGTTGTTTCGTGTACCCGGGAATCATGTCCAGGCACCCAAGGGTACACAGCACCGACGCGCCCAAGGTGGCCAGAATGGTGGCAGGCATGCCGTTATAGCGGCAAAGCAGCAACCACGCTTTCTTCCACGTTGGTGTCCTACATGGTGGGAAATATTCCTTCCCGAATTGGCCATCATGACTATACTTTTCTACTTTCGAGGTGATTCCCTCGGTATCACAGAAAATGTCAACTTAAAACCCTATTCCCCACACGATTCCACAACCATGTCCTCCAACTGTGAGACCAAAAGTCCCCAACCTGCTTCGTTGTGACAAAGCTGTCGCGGTAACCACACTCCTGGGAGTCGATCAGAGTTATTTAAGCGGTGTCCGCGAAAAATAAAGGGCTTTCTTCTCGA